GGTGAGCACGCACACCGTGCGGCCAAAGCCGCCTTCCCTGTGGCTCCCAGGCTCCATGCCACTGATCTCAGGTGCTCCAGAGATCTGAGCCCCTTAAGACCGGGGGCGGGGCGGGGCGGGGCGGTGGGAGGAGCTGTTCAGCAGGGCGGGGGCGAAACCTAAGGTTTCAGGCGCCTGGGGCTGGAAATGATTCCCTGGCGGAAGTGGAGAAGTGGGAGTGCAGACTTCCAGAGTCTGCGTGATTAGGTAACTAGGAAGGGCCAGGGGGCGGCTCCAGCCGTTGGCCGCGTTCCCGGGGTTCCCTGGTGCTCACCGGTCACTCCAGCTCGCCAAACCGTTAAACCAACTGCTAGCACAGGGCTGTGGGATTGCCTTCCATCTCAGACCCAGCTTCCTTACACTCCTGACCTCCAGTGTAGGTTGCCTTGCTCCTTGCCTCCTAGTGACCGGCCCTGAAGGAAGCCCATGCCTTGTAGGGCCGGGGTACCTGCTGGGCTTAGAGAATTACCCACCCTGTCTGTGGAGAGCAGTCAGTGCCCAGCTCTGAGTTATTCCATCATGTATAAAACAGAAGTTTTCAGACACTGCCTAAACCCGAGTTTCTCCGTTTTGTATAGCAGTAGTTAGCAATGAGCCACCCCATTTTAAGTTCAAGTGCCAAGGTAGAATGGCTCTAGACCTTGTTTGTACAAGTATACAACCACCATCTGCCCAGAACAACCTTCAGGCACAAATTGGTAAACAGCTTATATGTGCAAAATAAATCAAGGAGTAGCTGGATTCATGGACATCCCAAATCATATGAGGAACACCAGACACAGGAGAGAATCAACATTATCAGGTGCCCCCCCACACACACACCTATAAAAACACAGTGAAAGAAAAATGCCCTGAGACTGCATGCAGCAGGCACCCTGACCCTGTCACCTGGTCACTCACCAAGAGCCTTGCTCAGAAAAATCACCACAGCTATGAACCTCTGTCCTCAGGCTTTAGCAGAGCATGTTTTCTCCTTCCCATGATGACCACGCAAAGCTCACATTGGTCACTCTGAAACTGAAACTACCTACCGCCCTTCATCTTTAGGAACCCTCTGCTTTGACAACTCTGCGGCACTGGTTCATTGCAATCCTTCTCTGACCACCTGCATTGATGATCTTTAACTCTAGATTCATCTCTCATCCTGTGCTCTTGGCTCAGGATCCTGTAACCCTATGACCTTCTGAACCCCAGTCTGTGACCTACATGTGTATATCATTGGGTGAAGTATGATATATGAATTGGCTATTACATATATTAGAAATTATGATTGGAATAAAATAACTTGTATTAGCCTGGCTTAGGGACTACCAGGTGACCCACAAATATTCAGAGAACTGCCACAGATAAAAATTGTAACCTATGCATTTATTGTTATTCAACAACTTCTGACATTGTGAAAAGACACAAATGTGTTTGCTTGATGTTTATTGCACAGCTCTAGGAGGACTGCAGTGCCACAGTGGCTCCCCAAGAGATATAAACCCCAATCACATACTGGGGATTGAACCCTAAGATTCTACCACGGAGCTAAAATTATTTTTTATTTTAAGAAAGGATCTTTCTAAGTTGCTGAGGGCCTTGCTAAGCTGCTGATACTTGTTTAGAACTTTTGATTACCTGCCTCAGCCTCTTGAGTCACTGGGATACAGGTATGCACCAAAGCACAGATTTATAAAAAGCTTTCTTCCCTTATTAGGTAGGTTCTGAGGAACTCATACCTATCCCAACCCCACCACCACTTCTGTTAAGATTTCTTAGACTCCTATGCCTCAGTGTTATTGCTTCACCCCTGAGATTTTGCCTCCAAATAAATTTAATACCTTTCCCCTGCTCTCTGGGCCTTAGAAAATAGTTTGGTGAAAGCACAATTTCATCCATGAATTCATTGGACATTTATGTGCTAGGCTCTGAAGAATAGGAGAGAACAATGAAGAGATGGATGAAAATCAGAAATTGACTCTGGAAATTGTTGCTTCTATAAGGAGCCTTTTAGGAAAAGCCCCCAAGGACAGCAGTTTGCTTGGTCTGGCAGAACCTCAAAAGTTCTTCCCCTCCCAGGAAGATGTTTATCTGCCCCAGGTGTCCCCTCACTGCCAGTCTCACAAATAACATCTCAGGGGCAACACAGCCCATAGAATTCCTTTGAAAACAGCACAAAATTTCCTAAATCTGTCTGCACATTGGAGTCACTAGGCATTTCATAACTACTGGGTCTCACTGACATGAACTTAAAAAATTTAAAAGATCTCCAGATGATTCTCATGTACAAGTCTGGGAACCACTGTAGTAGCAATTGACAGTATTGTGGGGTTTTTTTTTTTTTTCTTGCTGGTGTGTTAATTACAAAGGATTGAACCCAGGGCCTTGTGCACACTAGGTGAGCATTAAACCAACTGAGCTATATCCACAGCATTGTTTGGGTTTTTTTCTTTTTGTTCTTTTTTTGTTTTGGGGTTTTTTGTTTTTGTTTTTTGATACTAGCGCTTGAGCCCAGGGGCACTTGATCACAGAGCTTCGTCCCCAGTCCTTTGTATTTTTTATTTTGAGACAGGGTCTCACTGTTTTCTGAGGCTTGCCTAGAATTTGTGATCCTTCTACCTTAGCCTTCCAAGTCACTGGGGTTACAAGCATACATGGCCAGCCCAGCAGTAGTATGTTTTTAAAGGTACACATGCCCAAAAGGTAAGGAATATATTAAAATAGTGTTAAAAGCCTAAATCTGATAAAGGTCATTAGTAGAGAAATTGGTGAATTTTGTGTAAGATATGTAGGGTTAATTACTAGCATCGCATCTTTTTCTGCTTTTGACTAGTGAACTATTGTTATATTTTTGGAAATACAGTGAAGTATTTAGAGGTAAAGGGGTATCATATCTGAAACACACTCTCAAATGTCTTAGGAAAAAATAGAATGAATCAAGCAAATGTGGTAAAATGTAAATATTTAGGAAATCTGGGTTAAAGCTCTTCAGGAGGCTTCCCACCACTCCCCTCTCCCATACTGGTGATTGAACTCAGGGGTGCTCTACCACTAATCTATATCCCCAGTCCTTTTATTTATTTATTTTTTTATTTTTGAAACAGGGTCTTGCTAAATTGTCCATGTTGGCTTCAAACTTGTGATCCTCCTGCTTCAGACTCCCAAGTTGTTAGTATTACAGGCATGTATCACCACACCTGGCTATTCAGGAGTGCTTTATTCTATTTCTCAACTTTTTAAAAAGTACGAAATTAAGGTTGTAAATGTATCTCGGGGTAGAGCACTTACCTAGCATATGTGAGGCCCTGGGTTCAATCCTAGAACTGAAAAAAAAAAAAAGAAAGAAAAGTCTGAAATTATTTCTAAATAAAGTTTCAAAAGTCACTCATACTTACAAGTCAATAATAAAAGCAACAACTAACCCAAGGAGATTCGCTGAGGTGTTCTGAATCTTGTAGCTGTGTAGGGATTTAATCGCCACCACGTTGGGAGCAAAAAGGCAAAGATCAAGACCACCCTCAGCACGCACTATCCAATGTGCTTAGCATGTTTGACCAGACACAGATTTATGAGTTCCAAGAGGCCTTCAACATGCTTTACAGAACAGAGATGGTTTCATCGACAAGGAAGATTTGCCTCACTGGGAAAAAAATTCAACTGATGAATATCTGGATGTCATGATGAATGAGGCTCCAGGTCCATCAACTCCACCATGTTCCTCACCATGTTTAGTGAGAAGTTAAATGGCACGGATGCTGACGATGTCATTTTGCTTGTTTTGATAAGGAGATATGGGCACCATTTAGCATTACCAGAAATAGTTGCTCACAACAGTGCACAATTGGTTTAAGATGAGGAAGGGGATAAGCTGTACAGAGAAGCCCCTATTGATAAAAAGGGGAATTTCAACCCTCTAATCCCAGCTGCTCAGGAGGCTGAGGCAGGAGGATTACAAGTTCAAAGCCAGCTTCCTCCACATAGCAAGACCTTAGCAACTTAGCGAGACCCTCTCTCAAAATAAAAAGGGCTGGAGAGGTTACTCAGTGGTTAAGCACTCCTGGGTTCAATCCCTGGTACAAAAAAAATTACCAAAAGACCCCCTCCCCCAATAACTGCATTCTACAGAGTCAATATATTTTGTTCAGAGAAAGTTATTCACCCAAATTTTTTCAGAACCATAAACTTTATGATAGAAAAGACAAATAACCCAATTTAAAAGTGGGCAAAGGATCTGAACAAACATTTCTCCAAAGAAAACATACAAATGATCAATAAGCACATAAAAATATACTTACCATCAACTAGCCATCAGGGAAACACAAATCAAAACCAAAATGTGATGCCACTTCACGCCCATTAGGATGGTTATAAATAAAAAAGACCATAGTGTGCTACTAAGTATGCAGTACTTATTCGTGTTCATATCCAGGTGACATGAAGAAAAATATGTGAATGTGCCTTGTAAACTATTAAGCACATGAGAACTTGCGAGTTTCGGTGTTGATGAATAAATATTCATTACTTATTGTGCATCTTCCACTGTGTTGTGCCCTGTAGATACAAAGATTAGTAGAAGTCAGGAACTGTGCTCACACTTGCAACCCCAGCTCTTCAAGAGGCTGAGGCAGGTGGATAGCAAGTTATAGGTCAGCCTCAGCAACTTAGTGAGATCCTGTCTCAAAATAAAATTAAAAGAAGGGCTGGGGATGAATAAATATGTGCTTCGTCAAAGAACATAACACTATGTAGACATAGTAAGTATTCATTAAATGAATAATTTGTATATTTGAAAAAAGACATAGTAAGTTTTGACAAGGCAGTGGAGAAATTGGAACCCTCATGCAAGAAGCTGTTGGCTTTAATTAATGAGGAATGATAGAAAAATTTCAGCGGATACATGTAGAGGAAATGACAGGAAGAAAAAAAATTACAATTTTTAAACCCCTAATAAAACGATTGAGTGAGG